CTTCCTCCTCCTCCTCCTCCTCCTTCTCCTCCTCCTCCTCCTCCCCGTCCTCCTCCTCCTGTGTGTCCACCACCGTTTTACAACTTCGCCCAGACTCGAAGGGTCACCACCCACTGGCCACTGGTGGAGAGCGGGGCTGCGCACAGGGAGCCCCTTGGAAGCAGCCTCGGGTACCCTCGGCCAGCCCCGGAGCAACCCGTGGCGGTCTCGCTGCAGGGTGCGAGGCGCTCGGGTGCGCAGAAGATGGGGGGCCAGGGAAGGGGCTAGCAGGTCACGGGAGGGGCCCAGCGACACACCGACAGGTGGGCACAAATCCCAGGATTCCCACCTTTTCCCACAATCTTCTGGATGTTCGCATCCCCCTCCATTTTTTTTTTTTTTTTTTTTTTTTTTTTTTTTTTTTCTCTCTCTCTCTCTCTGTAGATATAAACACGTACCGCATAGACCACCCTTCGGGTGATAAGGAGGTGAGGGGGGGGGAGGGACCAACGTCGCACTCGATCGATCTCACTATCGAACTCACTACCGATCTCACATTCGATCTCAACCGATAGATCTCACAATCGATCTGACTATCGATCTCACAATCAATCTCACAATCGATCCCACAATCGATCTCAAATTCGGTCTCGCTATTGATCTCGCAATCGATATCACAATCGATCTCGCATTCGATCTGACTATCGATATCACGATCAAACTCACTATCGATCTCATTATCGTGACTTACATGCATATTTTTTAGCGGTGATTACTTCTCTCTACTGCACTGACTCGGATCCGAGATGGGAAGACAGAGCGGAGTTCGAACTCCGCAGTTAAACTTCACACAGCATCCAGGCTTACTCTGCTCCTCAAAGGGGTTGGGCGGGAGGGGAGCCCAGACGACTACTGAGTGACACGCTGAGGTGATGAGACCGACATCCCAAAATCCGCTAAGTCATTAATGTGCACGCACCCCCATGACTTACATGCATATTTTTTAGCGGTGATTACTTCTCTCTACTGCACTCGCTGGTCTAAGCGACTCGGATCCGAGATGGGAAGACAGAGCGGAGTTCGAACTCCGCAGTTAAACTTCACACATCATCCCAAATCAGAAAACCCAAAACAGGTTCTGTTCTCACACTGATAGATACAGAGCACGAGGGACAGCAAGCAGCGTGAACGCCAGGGCTCTCTGGAACCTCTTTGGGATCTGGTGGGCGGGGCGAAGCAAAAAGAGGTGGGGCTGGTGGCTGTCACGGGAACGCTTGCCAGGGCACGCCAGGCCAAGGCGAGAACAGTCGGCAGACTGTATATTGAAAATGTACGAGACAGTCGGGAATCTGCCTCGACCTCCATATCTGCACATGTGCGAAACCTGACAGAGAACACCCTCAAATTCGCTAAACGCTCGGTCGACGTCTAAACTTAGCTTGGCACGGCACACAATCATAACTGGGAGCCCCATCTTCACAGCAAGGGTGATCAACGAACGAGCTCGCATCATCGTGTCCGAATCGGTTACTGAGACAAACAAGGCAGCAATGCGCGACTCCTGAAAATCTCGGCGCAGCGCGAGCAAGGAACCAAGCGTCAGATCCCGCTCGGCCAGGCTTCTGGTCAAGAAACCCTGCCGCGTGACATGGTGCGGCTGCAGGAAAGCGTCGCCGACCATCAGCACGAAGAGACGACGTTCCCCTAACGGGAAATGGAAGCGGGCCTGGGCACAGTGAGGCCGTGCAGCAAGATCTCCACGAATCTTTCCTCGCACTGCTCGGCGTGGCTCTGGCGCCAGGCCGGGTGGCGAGCCCAAGTGCTGGCCAGGCGAGCTCCCTTCTCGTACCTCACCACCGACCGATCGGCTTTCCAGCCGCCCCTCTTCTTGACCTCGGCCAGGGTACGCCTGCGGGGCGCCATGTCTGCGCTGGCGCCGCTGTGCCGAGCCTGGTACACCGCCAGGTCGAAGCCGAGGTCCTTGGCGACTCTCGCCACTGTCGCCGCCAGCTTCGGGTAGGTGAACGACCGCACTCGACGGCCCGCAGGCAAACTTTTCAGCGTCGTGAGCATCGGAGAGAGGCGGGACCACCAGGCGTGGTCGAGCTCGATAGTCACGTCGAACTCCTTCGCCTTGGACGGGACCCCCTCGGGCTCGGGGTTGAGCTGGACCGTCCAGAAGGTCGACACCCGCGAAGGCGGGTACAGGTATTCGGGCTTCAGGGCCATCAGCTGGATGGGCCTGGCGTAGGTGCTCCACATCAGGCAGATGAACAGCGCCATGTCGAAGCGGCCCATCAGCACCAGCCCGTTCACGATGGCACACCAGATGGGCCACGCCTCGGGCAAGCGAGATGTGGACGGGCAGAGGTTCTGCCAGCCCTTGAGCGCCCTCCAGCTGCGTGACAAGGTGTGGGGTCCGTTCTTGCCCACTCTCGGCTGGCCGTGAACCACGCCAGCGATCAGCTTCATCCCGCGAGCAGCCGAGACGCCTTGACGGATCTGCTGGTCCATGTAACTCACCAGCAGGTCGTCCAGGTCCGTGATCGGGATGTCGGTCAGCTTCTCGGCGTTCGCAAACGTCCTGAACGCAGCCACCTCTTGGGCGTACTGGGCCTCCGTTCTTGGCCTCACGGCGGCGTGTTCTCCCGCTGTGAGGTGGGCAAAGTCGGGCAGCGTCCTGGCCGACAGGAGGGTCTCGAGGGCCTTCTTGGCCCGCGGCGGAGGCGTACGAGTACGAGTGGTCGCACCTGGCCTTGGCTCGACGTCGGGCTCGCTCTCCGAGCTCGAAGGAGCCTCCGTGTCCAGCCCACGCTGATGGCGGCGCCGCAGCTCCGACAGCAGCTGCACGACCTCGTCGTCCGAGATCTCCCACAGGCCCGCCGCCGTCTTTAGCGCCTGGGCCCCCGCCTCGTTGTTTGCCCACGGTACACGGGAAGTGCGCGGCCGTGAGACGGATGCGACGTCCGTCGACGGGAGCCGACGCTTCCTCGCAGGATTCGCCAGTGCGACATCGCTGCGAGGCTGAGAGGAAACCAGAGTGCGGGTGCGCTCGGCTGTAGTCGCTTTTGGGAGAATCATGTAAGTCGGGTTGAGCCAAAACGGCTACGGAAGAAGGACCGAGGCGAGAGCTAGCGGGAGAGGACGTCTCATCCGCTTCCGAACCCTGCTGAGGCTCGTCGCCAGCACAGGGCTCCACCCGAGAGGGGCTCGCAGCAACAGGCGGAAAACCGTCATGGGGGGCGTGCCCTATCGGATCGGGGTGGTCTTTTCCATCAACCTCCTTCGACAGAAAATGAGACTTGGGCTGAAAGAGACGGGACGGGGCATCAGCAGGATTCTTTTCTGACGGCACCCACCGCACCGAGAGACGAACGTTGCGGCTGAGACACCACGCTGCCATCATCCTCAGGATGACGAGAACCTTGAAGTTCCGACACCTCCACCTGCCCACTGAGAGCACCAGGCCGAGGTTGTCGGCAAAAAGAACCTGGCGAATGTTGCGGCCAAAACGTGTGCGGGTCACGCGCTCGAGCCCGCGGAGCAGCGCCCTAGCCTCCAGCACTAAGATGTCCTCCTTACCCGAGAAAGGCCAGCCGCCGATGGTCCTCCAGGACGCGCTCTCCAGCATAGGCGAGGGCACCTCCGCGAAGGTGGGGTCGGCCATCAGGCCGCTCGTCCCGCAGGCATCCCACAGGTCCGAAGGCTCGGCGGGTATAGAGGTCGCCGACTGGGCCTCTCCAAGAGCGGCAGCCCGAGCGGCGACGTGGTCAGGGTCGAGGTAGCGATCGCGCTCACGAACACGACCCACTGCCGCAGCCTCGTCGGCTCCAACCCAGCGGCTGCAAAGTCCGTAGCCCCACTCGGAGGCGTCCGAGGCCGCGATCATGGGGTTCCAGTCCGCTTCCCAGTCGGACACGAGCAGGACCATGAGCCCAGCGAACGTGCGTAGCTCGTCCGCGGCCGACGGCCAGAGGGCGACGGGCTGGTCGTAGTGAGCCCTGATGAAAGGGTAGACGGTGGTGAACACCGACAGCGTCTCGCGCCGCAGCAGGCCGCAGAAGGTGGCGTGGCCGAGGATGGCCTCCACCTGCTGACCCGTCACCCGCCGGCGGCTGGTGAGGGCCAGGATGGCCCCTCGCACCCTCCAGAAGCGCTTGGCGGTGAGGCGGGTGTGCCGCCTGCGGCCGTCCAGCAGAACGCCCAGCGCCTCCACCCCCTCGTCGGAGACGTCGACCTCGTGCACCGCCAGCCCGCGAGACTCGAACGCAGAGACCACGTCCTCGAGCTTCGAGGCCACGATGCGGCCGTCGGCGCCGAACACCCCGATGTTGTCCACGTAGATGTAGTGGCGCGTCGCAGTGGCGCCCGCTCCCCGCATCGAGAGCACGAGCGGCTGGCCACGGTCGCGCAGCAGCTCAGCTCGAGGAAGAACCTGGCTGGCGGCCTCCTCGTCGATGTCCTGGGCGAAGAAGAGGCTCCAGGCGAAGCCCATGGGGAGGCAGCTCGGCATCGGCGTGACCCAGTCGTCGGGCGCGAGGGGGCCGTCCTCACAAGAAGTCAGCCCTACGTCTCGAGCTCGCACACGGGGCAAGCCGAACCAGCGAGACAGCCACATCGGCATGCCCATCCTGTGGAACGCGTCCTGCACGTCAGCTGTGCCGCAGTAGAGAGATGAGAACTCCTGGTCGTCGGGAAGCTCGACCTCTATACGGCCCAAGCCCTCGGCCGTCAAAAGGTCGACGCGCGGCGGCGGTCGAAACCACCGATTGGTCCGCCGCGCGTCGAGGATAAGTCGGAGCTTCCCACTCTTTTTTCGAACGAAGAAAAGTCCTGTGCGCTCACGCGCCCACTTGCCGAATACCAGCATGTTCCTGGCCCTCAGGTCGCGCGCGAAGCGGGCGTAGAGCTTCGGGCTGTTGGCGAGCTGGGGATCAACATAACACCGATCAGCGTCGCCAGCCAACGTGTCACTAGCACTGGGATCGAGCATGCGCTCTCCTGCACCCTCCAGGTAGGCACGGCCACGGTCCCCCACCAGGTCGAAGACGGACGACACCGCATCACGCTTCTCAGGCAGTGAGACCCGACCTCGCTGGTACGGCGCGAGCGTAGTCATAGAGGCGTCCATCCTGTAGCCAGACGCCTTGTCACAGAGCAGCTCCCGAAGGGCCACTTCTGGCGGCAAGTAGTACTCATGGCCACCGTCGCGCGCCTGGGGCGCAGCCAACTGCTCCACGTAGGACAGCACCTCGTCACGCTCGCGAATCACCTGGCGCTGGCCGGGCTCCGAAACATGTTCAGGCCGCCCGCGGAGATCAGGAAGTCGGTGGTCATCGGTCTTAGCAAGCCAATTAAGTGCATTTGAAGCGCCCTCGACGAGTTGCCGCACGTGGTCACGTCTGCGGTATCTCTTCGACCGACGCCCTCCCGAAGTCGGCGCAGACTCCAAAGGCGGCAGCGCGATCGGGAACTGGTCAAAAAGCTTGGGGCGTCCTCCCGCCCGAAAATCCCCCGCTCTCAGCGGGCCGCGGCATGGAGGGCCAATCCGCGACCCGTCGTCTAGGTCACCCGCCATCGGGGGCGGCCGCATCGCCTCTGCCGCGGCCCCCCCGCCCTGCCCCAGCACCGCGGCCACGGCCGCCGTCGCCACGGCCCGCAGCGCCCGACGGGGCGGCGCTCGGGTCGGCGCCGTCCGCGGGCCGCGGATGGTGCGAACGAGCCTGCTCCAGCTCGTTCTGGTCCTTCACCTTGGTCAGGCCCCACTTGCGCAAGGCGGGGGCGATGGCGTCGATCGAGTTGGCCTCGCCCTCGTAAACGCCTGCCATCCTCCCGCTGGGGACACCCCCGCCTGTCGCGTAGGCGTCGATCACCCCGCAGATGCGTCTCGTCAACTTCTCGATGCCAGCGGAGGCACCCAAGTTGAGCTGGTCGTACTCGCCGAACAACTTCAGGCTCTCCGTGAGGTTCGTCATCTCGTGGTAGACCCTGTCCGTCTTGCTGATGCCGTGGTCCCGAGCAAAGCCCTGCCACCAGCGCCGTGGGCCACCGCCGTACCGCTCGATGAACCGCGCGAGGTGGAGCGTGCCAGGCGGGCCCTGCACCTCCACGGCCGTGATGGGCTCCTCGCGGCTCTCCTGCACGGCCTTCTTGAAGGACTTGAAACGGTTCCCAGACTCGTCGTAGTCGACCCACAAAGTCCTGACGTCGTCGTCGGCCTCGATGGGAGGAGTCTTCGTGCCGCCGATCGCCAGAGCCCCAGCAGGCGGCTCAGCAGCCGCCGACGTGCTGCGAGCCTTGAGGCGGGCAACGAAGTCGACGCACTCGCTTGAAGGCACCGAGCGAACCCTCAAGAACCCGCCGTGCCGATGTACCAATCCATCGTGGCTAGTGATGGCGATGTCGCCAGGCCTCAAAGTGACCTCCAGCCCGAGGGTCTCGTGCTCGTCGGAGTTCTCGCACACAATCCAGACACGACCCTCGGCGGGCTCCCCGCGCGCACGCAAAATACCGAAAGGGTCCTCGGTGGCGTCGCGCACAGCGCCCAGGCCGACCGCGCCAGCGGGCCCCACGGAAGCCCCAGCGCCGTCGGCGTCGCCGTCCAAGGCCACAAGGCCGCCAGCGGCGGCCACGCCCCCAGGGGCCTCGGGCCCCCCCGCGGGCAAGGGCGCGGGACCGCCCAGGCGGCGCCGCCTGCCCACGCCAGCCAGCGGCCTGCGAGAGCCCTCGTGGTCGATGTAGTGAGTCATCGACAGCGGTTCCTCACCAGCGGCCCTGATCTGGTCGACGTGGGCTCTGGCCCAGTCCACGATCTGCTGGCTGCTCGGATAACGGTCTCCAGCGAAGCGGTAAAATCTTCCTCGCAGGCCCGCTGGACAATTGCCCATGTCGTCCAGGAGGACGATGGCTTCGCCTTCGTCGCCCTCCATGGTCATGTCTTCGTCGTACTTGTCGTGATCGGGCGTCAGCACCTCCCAGCGACTCACTCGGCCGAGTAAGTCGCGAGCGCACGGGCCGAGGACCACCCTCTCGTGGTAGAGGTCCTCTCCTGGGTACTTGACCGCCACGAGGCGGCCAGGGAGGAGCTCATTCAAGAACTCCCGCACCGTAAGGCGCTCGCCTGTGGCCCCGAGTCGCACGGCCCGCGGCGCCACCGCGAGCGCCATCCCGTCGACAGCAGCAGCACTGGCCGAAGAAGGTCACCCCGTAGATGAGCTGTCCGAAGCCGAAGAAACCCACGCCGCCCGCGAAGAGGGCGAAGTCCCTCCTCACGCTGTTGCACTGAACCTCGCACACGCAGCGATCAGCCACGAGCTGCTGCGCGATCTCCTCCACGATGCCAGGGTGGACCCAGCTCACGGGGCAGACAACGTCGTCCTGCACAGGCGGGGCGGGAGACGGTGCCAGAGCCTCCGCGCGGCACCAGTCGGCGTCGCCGCCGTCCCAGGGCGGCCGACGCGCGAAGTGGTCCCGCACCACAAAGGTCAGGAAAGCGAGGAACGCTCCCGCCACACCCTGCATGCGGCGAAAACTCTGGAGCCCAGACGACTACTGAGTGACACGCTGAGGTGATGAGACCGACATCCCAAAATCCGCTAAGTCATTAATGTGCACGCACCCCCAATCTCACATTCGGTATCACAATCGATCTCACAATCGATCTCGCATTCAGCCTCACTATCGATCTCTCTATCGAACTCACTTTCGATCTCATTATCGATCTCACTATCGATCTCACTATCGATATCACAACCGAACTCACAACCGATCCCACATTCGGTCTCATCATCGATATCACTATCGAATTCACTATCGATCTCATTACTGATTGTGATCTCACTACTAAGTCAATCGATCGATCTCACAATCGATCTGACTATCGATCTCACAATATATTCCACAATCGATCTCACATTCGGTCTCACGATCGATCTCACTATCGATATCACAATCGATCTCACAATCGATATCCCATTCGGTCTCACAATCGATCTCACTATCGATCTCATTATCGATCTCACATTCGGTCTCACAACCGATCTCACAATCGATCTCACAAGCGATCTGACATTCGATCTCACGTTCGATCTCACAATCGATATCACTTCCGATCTCACTATCGATCATCAAAATAAATCATCAGCATCGTCATCATCATCACCATCACCATCACCATCACCATCACCATCATCATCATCATCATCATCATCATCAATGTCATCATCATAATAGGGACACCGACGGGACACCGGCGGGACACCGCGGGCCCCCGGCCGCCCGGAAGGGAATCATTTGGTCCGGCCGCGCCTCAGCCACACGGGACACCAGCGGGACACCGGCGGGACACCGCGGGCCCCGGCCGCCCGCAAGGGAGTCATTTGGTCCGGCCGCGCCTCAGCCACACGGGACACCAGCGGGACACCGGCGGGACACCGCGGGCCCCCGGCCGCCCGGAAGGGAGTCATTTGGTCCGGCCGCGCCTCAGCCACACGGGACACCAGCGGGACACCGGCGGGACACCGCGGGCCCCTGGCCGCCTGGAAGGGAGTCATTTGGTCCGGCCGCGCCTCAGCCACAGGAGACTTTCTCTCGCCCGCCCACGCAGCTACGCCTCGCCCGCACGCACGGCACGCACGAACACGAAACCGAAATCGATTTCCCGGTAAGGGGGCTCTCCGTTCCACTTCGATCTCACCCCCTCACCTCCGATATGTAGATGTATATATACATATACATAGGTATATATATATATATATATATACCTATACGACCACCCTTCGGGTGATAAGGAGGTTCGGGGGGGGAGGAACCAACGTCTCACTCGATCAGTCTCACTATCGATCTCACTATCGATCTCAGTATCGGTCTCGCTCGATCGATCTCCCTCGATCAATCTCACAATCGATCTCACTCGATCTATCTCACAATTGATCTGACTATCGATTTCACAATCGATCTCACAATCGTTCTCACAATCGATATCACATTCGGTCTCACTATCGATCTCACTATCGATATCACAACCGCTCTCACAATCAACGTCATCATCATCATCATCATCAACAACATCAACATCAACATCATCATCACCAACATCATCATAATCGGGACACCGTCCTCATCATCAACACCAACATCATCATCATCATCATCATCATCACGGTCATCAACATCATCCGGACACCACCACCATCATCATCGTCATCACCATCATCAACATCAACAACATCACGTCATCGGGACACCATCATCGTCAACATCATCAACGTCTTCATCATCACCACCATCATCACCATCATCACCATCATCACCATCATCATCTCACAATCGATCTGACTATCGATCTGACTATCGATCTCACTATCGATCTCACAATCGATCTCACATTCGGTCTCACTATCGATATCACAATCGATCTCACAATCGACGTCATCATCATCATCAACAACAACATCAGCATCATCCTCATCCTCATCCTCATCCTCATCCTCATCCTCATCCTCATCCATCATCATCATCATCATCATCATCGCCATCATCAACATCATCATCATCATCATCATCATCATCACCATCATCATCATCATCATCATCATCACCATCATCATCATCATAATCATCCACATCATCATCGGGACACCGACGGGACACCCGGCGGGACACCGGCGGGACACCGCGCGCCACCGGCCGCCCGGAAGAGACACATTTGGTCCGGCCGCGCCTCAGCCACAGGGACACCGACGGGACACCAGCGGGACACCGGCGGGACACCGCGCGCCACCGGCCGCCCGGAAGAGACACATTTGGTCCGGCCGCGCCTCAGCCACAGGGACACCGACGGGACACCAGCGGGACACCGGCGGGACACCGCGGGCCACCGGCCGCCCGGAAGGAGTCATTTGGTCCGGCCGCGCCTCAGCCACAGGAGACTTTCCTCTCGCCCGCCCACGCAGCTTCGCCTCGCCCGCACGGCACGCACGAACACGAAACCGAAATCGATTTCCCGGTAGGGGGGCTCTCCGTTCCACTTCGATCTCACCCCCTCACCTCCGATACATATATATATATATATATATATATATACATCTATATCATATCATACATATATAGATTATCACATATATATACATATATATGTAAACTTGTCCTGGGGATTGACGTTAATCTGCGCCTGTGTGCTTCCCTCCCTCCCGCATCATGGTCAGGGGACGAGCAGAAGGAAGCGAAAGGGGGGGGAGGGGGCCAGGACCTCTGGGAGACTCCGTGGCTCCAGCCATGACTCGGCGGCGAGCGATGGGGGGAAGACACGAGCAGGAGAAAGCCCTCCCAGAAGGCGGCGGGGCTTCTCGGAAGCCACCTGGACCTCCGAGAGGTGTGCTTTCGTCGGGGATGGCTTCCACAGGGGCCTCCTTCGAAAAAATTGTCTAAAACCTCCCGTCCTGATTTTTGTTACGACGCGAGCATGTCTGGGGTCTGGGCTGGGTAGGATGGATGCGGTCGGAGTAGATGGGGTCGGAGGATCGCGCCGCATCGCCGATACATGGGCGATGTATGGGCGATGCACCGGCGATGTATCGTCGACGTGGGCGATGCATCCGCCACGCCGACGTGAAGCAAATGGGGCTCCACATCGAGCCGCATCGCCGATGCGTCGGCGATGCGCGGAGCGATCCTTCGACCCCATCTACTCCGATCCCATCTAGGAGGCCTGGATTCCAACGACATATCGGAAGGCCCGAGGCCTTCCGAGCCGACTGAGAAGGCCCACTCTTCCCAATTCCCCCCCGGGCGCGCCGCCGAATGATATCCACACCCCCCAGCCCTCACTCCCCTCTTCGATCCAATTCATCCAAATTCGCGACTCGAGCCCCGCGATGCGCGGCTACCTTTGCGCTTCCCCGCGCAGACCCCCTGGAGAAGTCCAGCTCAGGCCGCGACGCGCAAAGTGCGATTATCTTCGCCCCCCTGGTGCCGCTGGTGGGAGTTCCCGGAACGATGCGGTGACAGAGCCTGCGGTGACCTCGGAACCCCCAAGGACCTCGCAGCACGGTCCGTCACCTCGGCGCCCCTATAACGGGGACTCCACGGACGGGTGCTTTGTCCAATGACCCAGCAAGCCCAACCCTCTCCGATGTGGGCAACACTGCCATGCCAACAAAAGGCCCTAACGTGGCAACTTTCGGCAACTTTCCAGATCACCCGCTGGTGCGTACCTGTTACGGTGCCGCTGATCACCGCACGGCTTTGGGACCCTGGAGGCCCCCGACGCCCGAGACGCCCTCGGAGAGCGACCCGAAGCGCCAAAATCGTGCGGTCGCCCCGGGCCCCCACCGACTCACCACACGGTGTGGTCACCCCACCGGCTCCCTCCAAAGGCTCCCTCCAAACATCCAAGGTCATGATTTTTCGGTACGGGGCCCCAGCCCCGACCTTTCCTCTGCCTCCGGCTTTCCATCCCGAGTCGTTTTCTGACGGTCCCTGGGCCCAGCGAGGGAGACTTGCTTTTTTCAGCCTCTGGGGGGCCCCTGCCAGGCGTCGGGACCGTCAAACATCTGCTCGGGATGAAGCATCGGTCCTGGGCAATGGGTGGAGGTCTCTGGGAGTCAACGTGCTGAAAAAATCATGACGTCGGGGGTCTGGGCAACATGGATCAGGGATCCGCGCACCTGGCGCGTGGGCGCCAGATCCACGGACCGGGGCCTCCCGAAGCATTGAGGCCACTGCCTTCCGATTCGGCGGCGGAGCGCGCCGATTCTGATTGGACGCGGGACCCGTCGCCAATCCTCGCGCCTTCTTTGCGCGACGGGTCCTGGGCCCCAGAGCCTTCCCCTGGGACCACCTCTTCGTCCCGAGCCCTCTGTTGGCGGCTCCGCGGCCCGTGGAGGAGGGCTCCGCGAGGCCCGCGGACGGCGGGAAAAGTCTCGGGACCCGTCTGCTTCAGAACCACAGCCAGCCCGCACGCTAGGGGGGCGCGACAAGGATGCGGGGGCCTCGGAAGGCCCTGCCGACACTCTGCGAGCGGGGCGCGGCCAGCGAGAGCGACCAAGGATGGGCCGAAGGGGAAGGATGCAAGGGCTGCCTTGGAAAGTCGCTCATCCTGAATGCGCGGGTTGACTGAGCTCGCTCCTCCTCCTCCTCCGCCGCCTCCTCCTCCTCATTCTCCTCCTCCTCCTCCTAATCTATGGTTGGTGAGCTCGCTCCGCGCGCGAAGGAATAGCGGGTGCCTGGTCGTGGTGGGCCTGCCTGCGGCGTCGGGCGCGCACGGCGGCCAGCAGCGAATTAGCCCCCCCTTCTGGCCGCGGTGGCCGCGGCCGCGGGCGCGAGGGGCGCCGCTGCACGGTGCGCCCCCCGCTGCCCCGTCGCCGGACCAGGGCGGGGGAGAGGGAGGAGAGAGAGAGAGGCGGGGAGGAGAGGGGAGGAGAGGGGGGGAGGAGGAGGAGGAGGAGGAGGAGGAGGAGGAGGAGGAGGAGGAGGGAGGAGGAGGAGGAGGAGGAGGAGGAGGAGGAGGAGGAGGAGGAGGA